CTGTTTCTTTTTCGTTGGTCTGACATTCGACCACTTATCGAGGCTCTGTACCCGAAATGGACCACTACATACCAACAGGCAAACGAACCAGGAGCGACGATAGACTGGGAGCCGAGATTCTTGACGTTATGCAGTGATGGATGTGATCGAGCATAAAACGGTGTTTCCGTTTAACGAATACCTCCATTTTCCTACTGTTTTGATTAGAACGCTTCGTAGGGCAAGACCTAAATGCAAAGCTCTCAGTGCGCGAGGCAGAGTTGTCATACAGCTGGTCTTAAGTTGAGGTATCCCCCGAATGTGGATAAACCAACATCCACGTGTATCCACAACTAAAAACAGCATTCGAGTGTCTGGATAGCATACATCTTGACAGGAAAGTATCATCATCACCAAAGACTATTGAAGTACAGAAGGTCTGGGGTAGAAAAGGAAGTGATTGGGGTTCCCAGAAATGTAGTTGCCGAATTTCGCGTCACAGTGAGGAATAAACAGCAATAAAAAAGTGGAATAGAACTAGTCAGGCTAATCAGGTCCGGTTCTTAAGTCCAAAGCAAGTTTATAGCTCGTGTCAGGGTCTTTTGTGCGTACAAAATGAAGCAGTATTGATCGATTACATGACCTTAATGAAAGCTAAAAATTTCGAGTTGGTAAAACATTGAACTGTGGTCAGTTCCGTTTACAGAGGATAGAATGGGATCAGCAGATTTTCGGGTCTCAACTTGCAGATCATCGGTCGAGCGACTAGTCATTCGACTGAACAACGTTCTGAGACGCATTGGCACAAGCTCCTATCCGTTCTGCCAACCGCAACCCCATGTGCACTGGCGCTCAAGCAGCGAGGAAGAGTGATCCGGTGCAATCAGCGCACATCAGACAATGACTTGTCTCTTTGATGAAAACAGGATTAGCAGAGCGATTGGGGACGTACGACCGATTAGAGCATGCAGTTTGCGCCACATGGCTGTGATTAGGCTAGCCTTCAGTGAGGCCATGTTGACCAATTAATACTGCCCAAGCGTGTGTTCACAAAAGACACAAAGACACGAGCTATCAGCTTGCCTCGGACTTGAGAACCGGGCGCGATTCGCCCCGATGACCGTTCGGCTCAGCGAACAAACAGGCGAAGAATTGCTATACAGGTCGCAGTAAGTGAAAACGTAGAAGATGACGGCCGCTTAGACTTGAGAACCGGGCGCGATTCGCCTTGATGACCGTTCGGCTCAGCGAACAAACCGGCGAAGAGTTGCTATACAGGCCCCAGTAAGTGAAAACGTAGAAGATGACGGCCCTTGGATGAGTTGAAAATATAGGCAGAAGTTACTTGAAGACGCTACTGTGCTACGAACAGCCTTCTTCAATTCGCGATATCACACCACCACCCTCCGCAAATTAAAAAACAGATCAAGTGGAAACAAAACAGAGCTAGGAAGAATGAAACAATGGAGAACTTACGCTGGATAAAATGCCGGACAATTTCTGAGCTACATTTCTTGCTGACATCGTCTGTCTGTTACCCGGGAGAGAAATGAAAAGCTGTTTGGTGAAGTTCGAACAAAACGAAAGGTCAAAGGCACATTGGTTGACATAGTGGTAAGCGTAAACAGTCCCAATGACTAAATATAGGCGAAAAATGTATTTTTTCACGTTTTTTTAGTGACGAAACATGTATATACAATTTTCTACACGGAGCCCGCAGGCAATCAAACGGCGTTCCCGAAGAATTCGAACAAGGAGCTTGGGAACTGTGTTACTGGGTTCGTTGAACGGTCAAACATACTGCTACGAGGCGAGCTTATCGACCCAGTGGCCCCAAGTCCAAAACAGAGTTACAGATCACGGAATAGGGACTATACTTTGAGCAATTTTATTACACCAGTATCATTGTTGAAGACACGTTTCGAGTACTGTATAGCCATGGTTTGTGGTCTGAAGTGAATTGAGATACTGTCACGGCACTCAATGGTTGTCAGAAGGACGAGTGTGGTCACCCATTGTAGCACCAATCGGTCCAAGGAACCTGGTTACAAGATGGAAGTAATTTGCACAAACCAACTGGAATGACCGTTTTCAAGGGACATTTCACCAACAACTAACCTGGCGAACCAGGATATGGGGTTTTTCACAAATCCGGCATGTGAATCGCGTCATACATCACACAGGTACCCCTCGTCAACACAACTCGACGTACATAAACCCTTTTAGAGTAAAAGCATATTCTTGACCGGACACGTTAATCGTAAGGTTTCTGGAAACTATTCAATAGCTTACGGCCGATTTCACTTTTCTTGGAACTCACAGACAGACGAAGTGTCTGCCAACCTTAAGTCCTACTTGAACACGAAATTGTACGCGACTGGGAAAACACGCGCATTTGCAAACTAAATTGGTGCTAACGGGAAACTGAAATGAATCTCGGCTGCATCTTCCGTTCATGACCTTCTTTAACTCAATAGGATGGATATAAACGAGGGGTTCAGCTGTTTTCCCTTAAAAAGAACTTAATTTGTAAATGAGTCTATTACGCCGGCCAGATTACAGTTTGACCGCGCCTAGTGGCCTGTCTAAGCATTCTAGACTTTACCATGAATTCGAGAATAAAACACCACCCACACAAGGCTTTACACGATATAGTGTCACTTCGACTGATGAAGCGCCACGAACTTGAAACAACCCAAAGCGGTTTTCAATTTGGATGTTTGTCCGCCCACACCAGCAAGGAGTACTAACATCCTGGGGCGAACGTCGTCTCTCTGCACACAGGAATGTCTTCTAGGTATTGCCGAGTGAGGCAATCAGTGTTTGGAGGGTTTGAATGACTATTCACGATGTGGGATAGGCGATTGGAAGAGCTCATCAAGGAGAGACGATAGTGTTCTCCCCACACAGTCATTTTCACACAAGATAAAGATTTGTAACGTAACAAAGTTTAGCTCCGTTGTTTTAGCTGAGACATTTCCATTCATAAATGATAGGGAGAATAAGGGAATAAAAGCCATGCGTCTGGAAATGGGCCCAATCCATGTATTGTATGATATAGTGTATGATATATAGTGTGCTGTATGATATAGTCATATCTATCAGAGTCACTGCCATTCAAGTCTCGCGGTTCCCATCGGGGGAGACGGCGGTTATCAACGCGATTGAGTCGAACGGTGAGGGCTTTCATGCATCGTTGCTGTCATGAAGTGAGCATCCTTGGGTCGTATCCGCCAAGTACCTGACGAAGATGAGTGTATGAGGTGAACAGCCCTCTGGCATACCAAGTGAATAGGCTAGTGGATTATGGAATGTGACCAGTTGACCAGTCGACGGGGAGTCACCTTTATTGATATAATTTGGAGTACCCGAGTATGGCTGAGCATCGGGCGTGATCAATGCTTTGGGGGCACCGATGGTCAAAAAGTCCTCGAAGACGGGTATGTAGTGACCACACAGCTGATCCATGAGATAGGACGGATCGAACCGCAAACACGTACGCTCTACCCCAAACTGAGCATTTAATTAAAAAGTCCGACCTATAAGGAAGAGTTATTTAGGAACTCTCTCTCTCTAGCCTCTGATATGAAAGTCCGAAACGTGAGACAGTGGCTGCTAAAGCCTTTTTAGGAGGCCGATTACTCAGCGCACAAAGCTAACCCAGTCCGAGAGCTAATAGTCGGAGAAAATGCCTTTGGAACCAGGTCGGGCTTTTAGCAGGCCTTAATTGTACTTAGGCCATATTGAATAACTTGTCACGGTCAACCGTTGGGCAATCGGAGAGCTGTTCGGCGTCCCCATTAAACAAGCCGGTTGTCCGGGTTAATAAGGTTACAACAATCGGTGTCACTCTCAAGACAAGATAGTACATTGAGTGTACTCAGATTAAGTTAATTATGCGGAAAAAGAACGCACCAGGTAAGCTGACAATAAGTTCTCTACCTCTGTACACAATGAAGATTCAGAGGCATCGGTCTCCTCCAGAATCACTGAAATATATTCCGAAATCACATCAACATCAAGTTCATGCGGAATGCTTTGAAAATATGACTTGAGCCAAGACTGTGAATCGGATTCGCCGGGCATCTCCGGTTATATTAGTTACACACTGTAAGAGAAATAAAATGTCAGTTAGGTCAGCTTCGGTAACTGAAGACGATAAGTAGGTTTCATACCAATAAAGTACGTCAATGAGTCCGTTGAGAGAAATCAGCTGTCGTCCGGTGCAATAATCTTGCTTTGAAGGCAACCAGGTGCGTGTGAGTTCGCGGCCGAAAATGGAGATGATAGCAGTGACTACGATGACCCTAAGGTCGATCAGACCCGTGCACGATAAGGTCTTCATCGCATATCAAGAGGATATACCAGAAATGTGGAGCGATGGGCGCACATGGCCAGAGCCATTTGGAGTACAAAACCCTTGGGTGGGCCCACCGCTGGCTATAACCTTTCTATGAAGAGGTCAATCGTCCCGGCCTCGCGACTTTTGCCATTAGATTGATGGCCCAAATCCCTTAAAAGCGACCGGAACAGTTCCGTAGTACCGGCCTCACTACTCCGCAACACGGATCACTACTTCTCGAAAATCGATAAAATCGAACACTTTTCGAAACGACAGTTGACATCCGTCAATGAGCCGGGATGTCTAAAGGATAACTTTGGCTGTCCCGTTTGCTTGCTGTGTGACTTCCCGACACTGTCGAGCGAGTCTGAAGAGTGAACTTTCAGTATAAAAGGACATGTAATAGAGTAAATTATGATGTGTCCGGTGGAGTGTAAGTTCAAGAATGGTTGGACTGGCTTTCCTGGCCAACGCAGTGGAGACCACTCAATCACCCAATGAAAGACCAGTTGTGAGACTGGCAATCCATTCGAAAGGGTTTAAGTTCCAGGACAATCATGCTGTGAAGAAAAAAACGTCCACAGCCCTCGAAGGTGAAATGAAAACTATTTATCTTGGCCGAGATGTCACGGGATATTATCCAACTAAAGCTTTAATGAACAACATCACGGGAAATAAAAGTGACGGAAGAATTTCACGTACTGTTTCCCGAAGTCACATTCTGTCACGAGGAGACTGACCTTACCATGGTATGACGGTTTGTGCCTCAATAGCTTATTGAGCTACACTGGAGTGTCTGTGCCATAGAGACTCACAGTCCCTCATACAGGAATGGTCAGTGGAGAATGGTCTAAACAACACAATCTTCTGTTCGTTTAGGTTTGCTGTTGGAACAAGTGGCAACTTGTTCTTTAGAAAAGGGGATGCACTGGTATTTTGCGCCGAAAACCACAACCTTATAAAGTTTTGAGGCAAAAGCTTTGGTACCGGGCCTGAATCGTCCTCTTGTCTAGATCTGGGAGTCCTGGCAGAATATCAGACCACGTACAACCACAAACTATATATTTACAAACGTTCTCATGCTGCACCAATCCTTGCGAGGTGTCATCAGCCGGGTCGCCTTACATCCTGCACACAGCAGAACGGAGTCCTGGCAGTATATCAGACCACGTACAACCACAAACTAGATCGTTACAAACGTTCTCATGCTGTACCAATCCTTGCGAGGTGTCATCAGCCGGCTCGCCTTACATCCTGCACACAGCAGAACGGATGAGTTAAAACAGACCATCGCTGACTTCTCCCTTCTATCACTTTCCCGTACTTTTCTCCCTCTTCCACTATATCATCAATAACTATCTGCGTGTACACTCATCCGTTAGGATTAACGGTTCCGTTTGGTCTTGGCCGGAACGTCTGCGCGCTAGCCGGCACTATCATTTCGAAATAAGCTTTCAAACCTTGACAGCCTTTCCTTGGTCATTTTTAGTGTTCGCACTCTGAAGCAAGCAGGACGATAAGGTACCCTTGCTGTGCAGGGCATCATAAACGAGAGTTCAAGATACAGGCACAGTTTTTGAGCTAACTGCGCCATCACTCTTGCTTCCGGCTGTGCACCTGTGGCGATCCAGATGCCGTTGCAGCAGGATATGCAGGGTTTGGCAGCGTTCCAATTCACTAGATGGAAGGCTTCTTGTTTTATTGGATACCTGTCGATAGTTACTTCCGTGCGATTCGTCTGGTAACGTCCGTGGATGGGTCTCACAAACGGAAAGCTGATCATTGTGTTTTTGTGCGCTTGCGGTCCATCCGACTGTAGCTCTGATATCAAAGATACGCATGGCGCTTTGAGTACGCTTTTACCGCAGGCTGAAAGCTCAGATATCGTTGCGGTTGCCAGAAGTCAGAACGCACAACTGGTCAGATTAAGCTCACCTGATGCTGAACTAGGTAGTCAACTTGGATTGGACTTGGTACGTATGGACAACGACGAAAAACTGCCTTAAATATGCGCTGACCACTTTGTATGCAGTATTAAACTCCAGAATAACCGTCGTCTGATCACACAATGTCCTTCAGCCGCGCACCAACGACAAACCCAAACTGATACCATCACCAATGGTTGTCCATGGTGCGGATCAATAACTAAGTACCGCTCGTTTTGGAACGCTCAAGTCGATGGCAGTGAAGCATCGGTGTTAGATGCTAGCATCAGTCAGATGCTAGAGCAACGCACCTATAAACGACCCAGATTTTTACTATTCCGGGATTTCCAAGGCCCGGTCGATTCAGTAAACCTGTCTGTTGTCCTTAACACGTCTTCTCACCAAGGAATACCCCAGAAATTTGTGAATAAAGGTTCACTGGATTCCCACTCTTCCGGTAGTGGGGAGGTGGGACTCTCGAATCATCATCATCATCATCATCATGTGGTGTGCTGCAGGGATGACAGGTTCTCTATTCCTGTTCAATTTTGTAACCAACGAGGCGAGAACCCTAGCGTTCAAATGGTTGCCAACGAAAATCTTGTTGATCTGGAAAATGCAAACAACATCGATAGCGCCTGAGTAGAAAGCACAGGTTTTTGGATAAACTGACCAAAGCCATTCACCCTTTGGCATGCGCTTTGCATCCAAAAAGTAAAACCATGCCCCGGGACATGCAGTCACCCAGCAAACCATTTACAATCCAAAAGAAAGACACTCGAAGTTGTGGGAGGTCTTACATACCTTGAAAGTTGTATTGATTCCGATTGTAGTGTGACAGATGAGCCCAATGAGCGAGTCTCTGAGGCTCGGGTCACGTTTGCTGATTTGCGACACTTCAGTTCACCCGTTATAAACCTAGTACTCAGGGTACGTGGGCTCCAGCGGCCACAGTTCCGGTCACCGGAAAGCGGAGGAGCGTGAGAGATGTAACCAGGCATTGAAGGCGATGGTATATTCGGTTCGCTATGGAAACCGGGGGTCTACACATTGGAGAGGATGGCTTTGGTGCACGGGCACCACTGACGGCGTGTCCTTACCAGCGTAACCTATGGAGCTTGAGTAATTCATTCACTTATGTGAAGTTCCTGTACCCTAAACGAGGTCGAAATAATCCAGTGGTTAAGGCGCTAGCTTATGGGCCGGAAATTCCGTGGTTCGAACCCAACCTCAGCATCTCCTGTCTAGGCTTGGGCAACCTGACAGTATTCCAGCAATCGTGTCCCTTTCCGTTGGCATAGAATCAGAGCATTGGAAGGGTACTACAGCTGAATTATTTATTTATTTATTTATTTATTTGTTTATTT